AATGATAGCATTATGCTTTCTGTCCTCTGCAGAAAGATGACTTGGGATTCCCTGAACAAAAGGCCAGGTGCTGAGTTTTTTGTGTCTGAGTGTGGTGTAGACTCTGCTATACATTTTTATAGCATGAGTTTACTTGAGTAAAGCAAACAGTCACTTGGTTCATGTCCCCATAATATGGGTCTTACAGTGAGGCGGATAAACACATTTGGGCCTGTGTGCCTTAGGGGGTGCAAGTTTTGTCTCTGAGGCCACCGTGGTTCTTTGCTTGGGCAGAGTAGAGAGCAAGGGCAGGGAAGGGAGAGTATGGAAACCAGGTTAGTGAGGCATTCCAGGAGCCCCATCCCAGATGCCACTCAGAAACCAAATCAATCCTGGAGTCAGCCTCCTCCTACAGCTTTTGATGCAAACGTCAAACAAGGGCCATGCTTTCCACGCTGTGGCATCTACACCACTAAAATAAATTTTAGACTTCTATTTCTAGGAGATGTCACAACATAGATTTTTTTCTTTTTTTAAAAAAATATGAAAGCAATTTTCAATCTACATCCAAATGCAAGTGACTGAGTTTGAACTGCTCTCAGGATGCAGTCGCAGTCTGTAACAGCCGTGGCTGAAGACCAAAACTACCAGGAGGCCAGGACATGCTCCTCTGGAAGAGGGCAGGAACTGTCCCCCTGTATCATCCCCCACCTTGGGAGAACGTCTGTGAAGTCTAACACAGAGATTAGCTTTTGCAGGGGTCTTTAGAAGTGGGGTCATCCCTCTTCCTCTAACCCTCTATTATTTGTCCCCGAGCTTTTTTGGCCTGCAATCTGAGGAGACAACTGCCTTTTCATGTTTTATACATTTTATTCATACATTTCTCCAACTTTGAAATGACAAAAGCCCAAATCTATGGTTTCCCATTACACAGCATCCTACAAGTATGTATATTCTACAAAGAATACTATGGAGTTTCTCTTCTTCCCCTGTCACACGAGATAACTCATTAGGGTTTCATCAACTTGTACTGTGCTGGCGGCGCACCAGCATTCTGGTTGTTCCTGCGACAGGGCAAAGGGATCAGGATGGGAGGGCGTGTGCTAAGGCATGTAAATAGATACACACACAGAGAAAGAAAAGCAGGACATTTACAAAGAATCCGAACCTTTCCAATCCCTTCAGCACATGGGTGTTGAAGGACACCTCCTGCACAAATGCTCTTGCAAACTAAGGCTTTGCTGTACCCTGCAAATACTTACAATTGGATACGGTGAAATATACAACAACCATTAACATCTCTCTCTTTTTATCACTGAGACAATACTTCAACACCTTTTATAAAAAGGCAATAATACATACAGAAAAAAGAACACGTTGGCAAAACTTTATGCAAAATCACCCCAGAATTGAATTTGAATGGTGTGCACCTACACTGCAATTAAACACGATGCTCTGGGCTCAGTATGTGAGGGTTATGGCCTTTGCATTAGTCACGTGGCCTGCTGCACCTGGCAGCCGCCCAACCGCCTGCACAGATGATAATTCTGGGAGACAGCTAAGATGGGAAATCAATCCCCCTAATTCTTGGTCTCTTCCAAATGAAAAAATTAGGTGGAGCCATTCACTGTGGAGGAATACTTATTTCTATTCCCTAGGACAACTCCCTCTACAGAGATTGTACTTCCTCTGGGTCCAGAGATGGTCATACCCAGGCTCTATGAGTCAGAGAACTGGCATGTTTCTGGGATCACATGCCAGAGAGAACAGAGCTAACAGAAGTGGCAGCTAAGTTCTGAGGTTCTGAGCATATACAGAGAGGGAGTTGTGCTTGGAGCCAGGAAGGCGCTCTCCCATGTGGTGACAAACATCTCTTTCCATTTTCTTTTGCTCAGTCCATTTGCACAGGTTCAAGGGAGCTGATGGAGGGACAGGTGAGAGGTGGTAGGAGCTCAGGATTTCCTATCCGCCCTGAAGAGCTAAGACTTGGGAGTGACTTCCCAAAGCTAGCACAGCTCTCTTCCTACTCCCATGTCTGTAGGCTGTGTCTGCTAACCTCCTGCAACTGGAGCATCTCAGGGGAAAGATTGAATGGGAAAATGGTGGTGGACATACTCTTCTCCTCCCTTTTCTCCCTGCTTTCTGGGTGTATGTGACAGCTAAACTGCACTCAGTAAGCTGGAAAATCTAAGACTCCTCGTATCTCCAAGTTTAAGGCAAACTGATGTATGTGCGTGGGCAAAGCCAGTCAAGCGGTGAGCCTTAAGTATGGTCCTGTAAGCGGAGATTCTAAACAGAGAGGGAAACCTTATTTCTAAAGGAGAAAAGGAAAGGCTCCACCAAATGAAATAATTCGTGATTAGAGCCTGTAGCCCTTCCATAAGCTGCAGTGTAAAGCATCTTTGTAAGAGAAGAATTAATTAGAGGCGCAGAACAAGAGAACCGTGCTCAGGGACTTTTAGCCTATTACAAACCATAATCAGTCTCAGTGTTGTAAAGCCCTTGTAAAGAGGACGGAATTAGGAGGCTGTGTTCAGTTCTGAATAAATGAGAAACAAGAAACACACACCAGTTGATGACAGCAAGCAAGAAGGAGGAGGGATGAGGGCCGTAAAGAGCTCGTTTTTGGAATGCTGATAGCAAGATGCCTTCTCTTTCTGAGGTGATGGTGTGGGAGGCATTTCTATTAAGAATTTATTAATCGAGGAGTATTCTTAGTAGCTTTATCAAGCTTAAATTGCCCCAAGTTACTAAACTGATCTGAAATCTGAAATGGGGGGGAAAAAGACATCACATCAGTGGGAGATGAGAGGGCTGCCTTGTCCTTAAAGGGCAGTTTCAATTCTAGGAATCTTTACTGTCCAGTTTCTTGGTGGGTGGCTGGATTGATTACACCTTTTCAAGAAATGAACTCAAAGACTAAAAGAATAGATAACTACAAGAGATTTAAAAGCAAACAATGGAATTCCTTTGTAGCAGATAAGATCAAAGGCTTTTAAAAAGATGAAAGATAAAAGTAATTGGAGTCCAAGCCGGCTTGGAGCACAAAGGACAGCTTGGCTCCAACTGTTTGGCCTCCTGCACTACTCCTACAGTGGGAGAACTTGCTGCAACATCTTTAGGTATTCTGCCACCAACAGGATGGGCTAAGATGATGCCTTCTGAATGCAAATAGCAAGAAGTAGGTCAACCATTTCTCTTCCTCTCCGAGAAAATATTCTAAACCATCTCACCTGACAAGAGATACATTTAATTGCATTTTAAAAGGCTACAATGTTATCTTGACACTGGGAAACTTCCAGATGAATTAAATTGAGTGACATTTCTCTTTATAGCATTAAAATTGAATATGCTGCCTGTGCAAAGTAATTACTGTCTTATGATTAGAAAATCAGGACATTTCATCTTTTTAACAAATAATTCAACATATGAAATCACTCTCTTGTTGTGGAAATGGGGTTGGGATGGGGAGAGAACCCTTAGAATATGACTCCTCAACATTTCAATCGACCACTAACAAGATTCAGTAATTTAATCATTCGCTCTAGTCTTTAAAAGGAAAAAAAATTGTTCTGCTGATGGAATAGGAGCAGTAAAGAAGCTTTTAGCCATCTTCTTTGATTGTTTAGTGGACAATTGTAATGTAGCAGCAGCAATGTACTAAAATTACTCTGAATTCAGAAATATAAGTATGCTCTGCTAGGTCATAAAGACACTGCTTTAGAGAAGATGTGTATTAGTGGAATGGAACAGATGACCTCTTTGCGAAGTTGAGGAGTTTTGGGTACAGGGATTTAACTATCTGTATGATGGCAAGTATGATGCCTGCCTGTGTGCTTCTCGGAGGATGCATAAAGCCACTAGAGGAGGAGTGCTACCGTGCCTCTCAATTCTGGGACCACAGACATTTAAGTCGGCATTGTTTTTCTCCTCCTCTGCTTAACCCACCTTTATGCACATGGTGGATGGCTTAAGATGGACATCATCAGCATCTGTGGAGATTAGATCTCAAAGGGCAAGTGGGGGTATGGGGGTTTCCACCAGAGGAATGGCAATCTCTATTTCCCACGTGTTAGCTATATTTGTTTTTGTGCTTCACTGGAAAAGAGGTAGCACGGGCACTTCCACACTGAGGAGAGCCCAGATTGTGGCCAATTCCACCACAGGAAAGACTGCCTGGCTGTGGTACTGATTAGATTTAAATCAGTCCTAACACAGCCCTAAACAACTCTTTGAAGTTTTCTCTCTCTAGGGTGAGACCACTGTTGAGCTTGTCTCTGGTGCTTTGCTCACCCCACTGTGGGGTCCAAACAGAAGTAGTTCCAACTTGACTCCTTGTTTGTAAGTTGCAGACGCATCTGGTCACTGAACAACATCAAGAAAAGAAATCAGCATCATTTAATAATAGTAGGTAGAGAGTAGGGTATTGACAGTGTAAAAGGAATATAAAAATGCCTTCTCTGTTTCATCCTTTAAGAGGAGCTGTTCAGCTCAGAACACACCCTGTGCATCCTGCCAAGGCACAAAGTGACTGAGGCCATCTAACCTACAAGAAGCAAAAATAATGGTATGTTTTCAAGGATCACAGGTTAATATAAGCACATCGCATCCTCACATGCTAATGAAAAACATTCTACTGACCTCTGGCAAAGAGTCTGAGAACCCTCAGCCTGAATCCTGTATTGGAAGAATATGACCTCATGGAAGGGTTATGAGATGGTTAATGTCTCTAAAGCAACAAGGAGAGATGATTCCCCTGTGCCAAGGGATACAGCAAGAGGAAGGAGAAACCACAGGTGGCCTCCAGTACACCTGTGGCCCTTGGGCACATGGCTCTCTGAGAGTCAGCTGTGGTCTGAGCTGTGTTCTGGGCAGGCTACTTTGTTGCCCTGCCAACCGATACTCACTCCTGGGCCTTCAACGCTTTAATGAGCATCTAACAAATTATAAAATTGAAAAGATTATCATCTTGGAAATCTGAAAAAAATCTATAATGAAATGAAGGACCCAAAGGCATTTAATTATTGAACACATAAAAGGAAGTATATTTTAAAAAAATTGGTCAAACTGTCCTGTTAGTTATCATTTTAAAGGAATTTACAGGGCTGTTATAGATTATCCTTTTGGAATAATTCAGTTTATAGCAAATGCCTAAACTGGTTTCTTCACTGCACAGTATTTTCTCTTAAAATGGGCGCTTTAAAACAATTACATACAGATTAAAAATCCTCATTTCTTTGCTTAATTAAAACGTTAATACTCTTAGACAACACAGATCTAAAATGGTGAAACCAGCAATTCCCCCTCCCACCTTACAACAAATTAAATTGAGACAAAATTACAAACACATTTCACTACATGATTATTATTAATAAAAATCAGTTTTTTTTTATAAAGTTGCCCGAAATGCAAGGGATGTGCATAGGTTTACAACTTAGTCATAATAGCATTTTATTCTTATTCCCCTGGGTGTGCCCCATGAATGGAATGTACTTTGCTGTAGATTACAGATTGTTTTGTCCAACACAGACACACCAACAGCATAAACGCTCGCGACTGTCCACATGCATTAAGAGTCAAGACCCAACTTCAAATCTCTAAAAGGTTTACAGGGTGCTTCAAAGAGACAGTATCACATTATCTGGATGTTACATAAAGGACTTAAAAAAAATACTATTCTAAGAAAAAAAAAGAGAGAGAAAAAAGGCCTTTAAAAATTTATGACTGTTTTGTAATCACTACACTAATTATTTCAAATAAATAAAGGAAAGAAAGATATTCCAATCCATAAAATCAGACTCTAAAAAGAATGTAGTGTTCCACCCCCAGTCAAGGTAACAGAATCAGTTTATTATTATTAAAATAGATTATAGAAAGCAGCATCTATTTTGTGCAGTTTTTAGGGGCCTTGGAAATAAAAAGCTATGATTTCCAAAAATATAACATTCCAAAGGATTGAATAATACATACATTTAAAGATACATTTTATTAAAGTTTAGGAGAACTGATTAAAAAAGATACTGTCTCTTTAAATTAGTGTGTAATTGTTTTTCTCCTCCTATCTATTCGGACATGACAATAATTATAAATGTAGGTCACACTACAACTAGGTAGTCTCTAGGGACCACGACCTGTTGACACAAGGCCAATAACAAAGAGGCTTTTCCAAGTATGAGCTGTTCCCAGTTATGCTCAGATATCTGGGGAGGGACCTAATAGACCCAGGAGACAGGGACCCACTGTGGGGCTGTGCACACGAGCTCAACGGCTTCCTCCAGATGTCTGATTGTCTCATCAATTTCATTGTTGATAATTGTGAGATCGAAGTAGTGTGCATATGTTCTCTGTAAGATATCAGATTCTTTCTGCAGACGCTGAAGAGATTCATCCTAAATGGGTGATGAGATGGAGGTAGGGGTGGGCATGGGAGAAGGAAAAAGCAAACAGAAGAGAGAAGTCAGTTGGATTCATTTTCTTTTTGCATTTCTACTCGTCCTTGTGTCAGAAAACAGTCAAGGCCAGACTCTGATGCACAAGGCCAAGTCTGCTCCATGACAGAGGAGACAGTGACTGCCATGCAACAGGAGGCTCCACAACAAACCAGGTGAAGTAGAGAAAACAAACACTCTTCAGCAAATATATCACTCCCACTCTGGCCTCACGGTGCCTGTCCCCAGAGTCAGTTGGGGTAAGGCCACTTGAGGCATGGGTCAGCAGTGACTACTGTGGCCCCAGCTGTCCTTTCCTCATTACTCTAATCTAGGCCCACAGGAAGCCTTATCCCTAGCCTCAAGCCACTTTTCCATTTGGCTGGAGGGCTGTGGTGGCAAGGCCAGAGCTCCTCATCACCCCTCCCCTTGGTCACCCGAGCCAGGTCTCAGGACCCAGCTGCATTTGCACCAATAAGCCCCTGCCTTTGGACAACAAATTAAGTTGCATTTTTTTCCCTTTTCTACTTAAAGGTTCATCATGTTCCAGGAATTCAATTACATATAATGGCCCTCACTCCATAGCAGCTGATGCCAGAGGCAAAAGCTTTTTGAATGTTACAAATAATGGATGGAATCAGGCCATTTCCCAAATAAACAGTAATTGGCATCTGATGAATCCCCCCAAATTGGCCTGCACTGGAAATGGCTACACAAATGTTACTGTTCATAGTTCCTCACATCTCTTATGAAAATACATCTAAAGGAAAATAAACTTCTGAACTCTAAGAAGGTTTATTGAAGTAAAGAATATTCCCTAAACTATAGCTTGTTACAGATTCTAAGAACTCTCAGTGGGGTAAGCCAATAGTAAGAAGGAACTCAGGGTCCCACAAGCACAGCTTACACTTCAGGATGGCACTTCTTTCAAGACTATGATCTCTTAAGGGCGACCAGAAGGAAGTCTGCTCTGCATCCTCATGGATTAAATTTGTTATGCTGAACTCCCAAAGAGAAGGTTCAAATTTGAAACTAGGAAACTTTGCGAGTTAAATTAATCCCTTGCCCCATCAACTCACCTGTCATACACTAGGTGAGCTATTGGGCTGAGTCTTAAATATATATAAATACAATTAAATACCTGTTTATTTGATTTGTTGCTCTCTAACAGGGAGTAAATGTACCTGGTGAGCCCTGTCATTGCCATGTCCCAGCGCTGGTAAGTGCTTACTTAGTAAATGTTGTTGAAAGAACAAGCACTTGGCTGACTGGTACTGGTCATTATAGGATTTTATGAGTCATCTATAATCAAGAGACGAGCAATTCTACTAGGAAATGGGGGCCCAGTGTGACATAGACACATCTGCCAGGAAAAGATGCAATGTCTTCAGGACCCAGGAGCTGTGGGACTGGGATCCCTTTTCTTTTCCATGGCTTCTCTGTTATTTGTAAGGGACTCTTCCTGACAAGGAAGCTGGGAGGCCCAGGCAAGCCTCTTCTCTGTGGGTATAGCTTTTGGGAAAGCTGATCAGAAGATACTTGCTAAATTCTTTCCTGGTCCTGCAGCAGGGATGGGCAGTTGGGAACTCAGTCTTTTCTATCAGGATACTATAAACCAAAAATGTCCAACCAGTTTTGTCACCTTCTACAGGAATTTCAAAGCAGGACACCAGCATGTGTGCTTTGAATTTTAGTGTTAACTACCATAGTGTAGATAAGACCTCACCTAATAAGCACCTTCTAAGGTCATTATCAACACACATTCTGCTTGCACTTAAAAAGCATAGTATTTTCACTGTGGCTTTACTTTACAATCAACATAATGCAAAAAAAAAATGCTATTCACACAAAGACAGGAGTGCATTCTACCATGTGAGAAGGAACAATTCCTAAATCTCCTGGGTTTCAAAAACCACTATCTGGAAATATTCAATAAAATTTATGGCTGAAAGCATCAAATTTTTAATGTAGGTCTCTTTGCAGAAAGATAACTCTTCCTCATAAGGATTTTATAAGATGAAGTTATATTTGTCCATTTCTTCCTTGATTACAGCTTGTCTGTGTGCTTGACTCACGCGTGAACAGGGTTTAATTCAGTGAAAACAAAATGCCTTTATTCTACAGCGAAAGCAAGGATTTGTGGGAACAAAATGTCTACAGTCTAAATCTATTAAAAGAAACAAGGCTATATTTCATTGCTTCCTAGCTGGTACTTACAGGTAATTTTCTGCACCATTTTGGCAGCTATGGAAAATTAGTAAAAGGGCAGGAAAACAGGCAAAACAAAAACAAAGCAAAGATGATAATTCAAGAAAAATACATGGCAACCAAAGGGTAAAAACTAACCACTGTGTGGAGTTTCAAATATGGTTATATATTAAATAAGTTGGGAAAAGTAGAATTTTAATAAGGAATATACCTTTTGCAAATGAAATGACAAAAAATAATGACTGAAAATATGAGTAACATAGGTAACTATAAATATTTACTCTTTCTTAAAGGTATACAAAGTGAAAATGTCCAGACTTTAATTTAAGTGCATTTAAGCTTGGGTGAGTTTAGACTTATGTTTTCTGAACAAAGCCAAGATTCCTCTGATGGTTACTAGAACTTGTGAAAGTAACTGTCTTCACAGGGTAACTTAGAATAGGAAGCTCCTCTTCACTAAGGGGCCTACAGCAGACAGGCACTGCTATACTTATCCGACACATGATAATTATGTTCCCTATCTCCTCAGTAATAGAAAACCTCCTAAATCAGCTTGGTACCATGGTACAGCCAACTCTCACAGGCACCATCTCTGTGATAGCTGATGACTTGATTTGGCTTGACAGTGGACAGAGCTCATTTCTAGATTTGGTAGTTTCTTGGGATCTAGAATGAAATTCTCCATGGGTTCCAGTCCAGAGACTGCCTGGGGGAACCTGCACAGCAAGGCCAAGGTCATGGATTCCTTATAGCTCTGTTCAGGCAAGGCAGTTGTTTGGCCCCGAGCTGCCCCTGTGGGTTGCTGCTGCTTCTGCACAATCCCTACCAGAAGAGAGACTAGGCTGGCAGCCCTGAAGGGTGTGAGATGCCTGGGACGTTAAGAGGTTTGTTCCCAGACTTTAGAAGTAGGTTTATTGATAAGGGCATAGGCATGAGCCATTCAATTCCATACCTCATTTCACCAGAGCAGCCTTTTGCTGCAAATGTAGAATGATTTGTTTCGGACTGTGCTGGGCACTAGAGCTTGAATTTGTCTAATGATTCTCATCTTCAAAGAACCACAGTTTATGTTGCTTAATTCCTAATACTGAAAGAGGACCTCAAGCTCTGGAAGTCTTACTGCTCAGCACCAACAACAAAGCAGAGCTTTACTGAGTTGTCTTAATGGCATGGGGCTTTGGTTTTGAATGCACAACACATGTGGATCCTTGCAAGGGGGTGTGCTTATTTGCGGAAAAACAGATTGATTCTTACCTCATTTAAACCTGGAGTAATAGTTGGTGCAGCAATAAAAACAACAAAGGGAGCAAACTCTGCAGTTCTCAGGACCTTCAGTGCCTATGTTAAAAAAAAAAAAAAGAGAAAGAGAGAGCCTTAAAAGAAGAAATAAATCATGTAAATTTCAAATGAGCCTATAAGAAATTTATACAACTGAAAATTTCAAGCCCGTGGTTCAAATTTTAGGCAAGGTATTATTAAATTTATTAACCTTATATATAATTCCTACCATGTATTACTCCTTTTCTTCTAAAGGATGGACAATAGCCATCAGAAAGTAAAAGTTGACAAACAGGACTTTTTTCTTACAAATCTCATGAATTAATCTGATTTAGTTTTCTTAATAAGTTAACACTGATTTTGTGGATTAATATTCATTCAAACTTCGTTATTAGCTGTAGCCTGACTTTCAGATTTTAGGGTAGACATGGACCTGTAGGCTGGCTTCACTACTGATCTGGAGCCCACTCCATCACATTTCAGATTTCAAATTGCTAACCAAGGAGACAACATCCTGGCCACTGTTAACTATGAGGGCCATGGTCACTTATGTAAGGCCATCTGAATTGCCCTGATGAAAGGTCCCATGGAACTCATGGGGAAGGTGGACTTTGCCCTGGGCTGGAGTCAGGGGCCTTCGGTTTTTTGTCTTGGCCCTAACACTAAAGAGGCTGAGCAGCTGTGGCCACTGCATGGACAAATATGAGAATGGTAAGTTCAAGGGAGAAGAATCTGAGGCCCCTTTCAGTTCCCTTCCAAGGCATTCCAAATGTACTGCAAAGCCGTGCTCCAATACTGCAGGAGTTGATTCTGCTAAGGAATTACTGCTCTGCTCTTCCCATGGGGGAACACGACCCTCAGGGAGATTACGAACTCCCTCACAAGGGACAATACGCAACACAAACAGCTAATCAATTCCTAAGTGACTGACATGGAATTAATGCCTGTGCACAGGAGTGATATCTTGCTGCCCTTTACACAGAATTTAACACATCTATTTTGCTGCCCACTATTTTGTTTTCTAAATGGTCTTTAAATTTGTTGGCTTTGCCTGACTCCTATTGCTCCATTTTTCCCCTAATTTATTGTAATTGCAATTAGACTGGTTGCACTGTCTCCAGTTTTGCTGCTTTCCAAACCATACTAGAATGATCTTTCTGAAATGTCAATCCCATGGTCCCCCTGCTCAAAATCCTTCAATAGCTTCCACTTGGCTTCAGGATAAAATGTCTACTCCTCCGTATGAATGGCAGGTCCCTTCCTCACAAGTGAGCCCATGTTCAACCTCTTCAGCTTCTCTCTGTTCTTTCTCCTCCATGGACTGGCCTTACTAAGAACTACTTACAGTTCCAGAAAGTGCCAGACTCTCTCTAGCTTCCTGGTGTTTTTACTTAACTGTTCCCTCTTTTGGGACTTCCTATCATTTCCCCTTCCATTCTCTTCCTCTTGCTTGGCTGAGTAATCCTTCAGAACTCAGTACTGATGTTCTTTTCTCTGGAAAGTTCCTTGTGAGCTCTGATCTCCTCTCATGTACTCCTGAAGTACCCATTACACTGGAAATCCAAATCCCTGGGGACTAGTGGGTAGGCTCCTTAGCAGCAGGGACAACGTTTTGTTCAGTTTCTCCCTCATGCCCAGTATGACATCTGTCATAAACTGCCTTTATGAGAAAATTAAATGTAAAAACAGTAAATACAATTCTTTGGGGGCAGATTCACCTAGAGAGCAGTTTGTTTTCTTGGCTGAAGGGACTCTCTTAGTCTCTTTGCACATGTAGGCATGAAAGACAAATTTGATATTAAAGTTTCTTTTTTTTTTAGTGCAAAGCTTGCTCTCATTAGGATTCTATTTCTGAATTTTGGTCACACAGTATCTTCTTGTGGGTTAAGGGTGCCTGGCGCATTGTATCTGTCTATCAAAGTTCTTTAATTGTTAAAGTCACAGACTCAGATTCTTCTCATAGGAAAGCTCTCCAAGCTCGCAAATGTTAATTTTTGAAAGACATAACTAGCAGCTTCTTTGCCAATCCTTTTGTGACTGAAGACTTCAGCAAGGAATAAACATCATGAAAAAGTCCATATATAGTTCAATTGAGCTAAAGGGATCTTCATTTAGAAATGCCCCTTTTGTCGAATATTATCATGGACTATTTTCCCTTCCTTCCTGTCTTCATAATCAGTTGAATATAGCATCAGATGAGACAGAAGGTTTTCTCATAGCCCTACCTGCTGTCACGCACACATACCCACCCATAACCAGCTTCTGGGCAACTGAGATGGGAAAAAATACCATTTATTTCTCTCACTGAAGCTACTCTGGGTGCCAGATTAAAGTCCTCACAACCTAGATGTGGACTTGAATCAAGATGAAGTAGTGGATGAAGTACAGGATGATACCCTGGGCATGAAATATTTTTTTCTCACTCAGTGACCCAGCCCTGCTAGCTACTCAAATCTTTGAATGTTTTCAATTCTAGCCTGCTATCTTATTACAGCAGCAGAAAACAAACTCCTTGGAAGACATTACTTTAGCTCCATGCAGATTATCTATCCCTAAGTCTATATCCATGAACACATGTTGTTCTACATGTACTACATAAAACCGTCAATAAAGGCCAAGTTCATCTCATTGGCCAAATGCTTCTTCTGTCTAAGAATCAGGTCATATTCCTTGATTCCCTTTTTTGCCCTGGTGGCCAGGAAGTTCAGAGCCAAATTTAATGTTTATCATAGTAACTATAGTGGCCCATGTGGTTAGCAGTTTTGCTTCCTCCTCCTTTTCATGGCTGTGGTTTTCTACCTTATTATATTCTCAAAAATTCTAAGAGGCCTCCACTGCTGACTGAGATTTACTTATCCAGCAGGCCTCATATCTTTAGCAGAGTCACCACCCATTTCTACGATACACAGTTCTTAAAGGTCTCTGTCCCCATACTTTGCTCAACTTATGGGTCTCAAGTGGGTACCATTTTGGGTGTAGTCTCAGCCTGGTTGAGGTTCAGCATTACTTTAGGGAAAGGATATGGACCTGTTCACAAGGATTTCCCTTTCTCAGGCAATTAATAGGTGACTTACAGATGAACTCTAAAACCTCTTCCTGATTCAAGATAAGACACAAATTTCTTAATATTAAAAGGCAAATTTCTTTCTCTCTGAATCCCAGAGAAGTGTAGAAATAGAGAGGAGAGAAAGGGTGGGTAAGCGACAGAGAGTATACTCCAGAAAGATCACTGAAAATGCTGGATTCAAATAGTGAAAGTAACATTAATTTTAAGTTAATTCTTTAAGCTCTCTTTTGCAGGGATAAAATTGATTTTATGGCTCAGTGGTGGCGAATAATTAATCTCAGGTTACCATCTTCAAGTCTGACCCAAATATCTAAGATGCAGCTATCTATAAAACTAACCTGGTGTGTAAACTTAAAAAGAATATAGGGGCAAGGTATCTGAGTCATTTTGTGGATTTAGGAAGAACACAGTGACCTCAAAACCAATCTTAAGAGAGCCAACCAATTTAACAAAATAGCTTCTGATTCAGAAGCTGGCTCTTATTTATTTATTTTTTTGCTCTTTTTTTTTTTTTTTTTTGAGAGAGGATCTTGTTCTTGCTTAAGCTGGTCTCGAACTCCTGAGCTTAGCAATCTTTTGCCTTGGCTTCCCACAGTGCTAAAATTCCCCTGCGCCTAGCTTTGTTGTTGGTATTGTTTCTCTTCTTTTTTCTTTTCTTTCCTTTTTTTTGAGTCAGAATCTTACTCTGTTGCCCAGGCTAGAGTCCTGTGGTGTTAGCCTAGTTCATAGCAACCTCAAACTCCTGGGTTTAAGTAACTCTCTGGCCTCAGCCTCCCGAGTAGCTGGGAATATAGGTATCTGGATGTTAACTTTTTCTATTTTTAGTAGAGATAGGGTCTCACTCTTGCTTAGGCTGGTTTTGAACTCCTAAGCTCAAGAGATCTTCCTGCCTTGGACTTCCAGAATGCTAGGATGATGGGCGTGAGCTGCTATGTCCGGCCTGGCTCTTGTTTTAAAGTATACATTCCTCACAAGACTGTAAGCTACCTCTTGGTGATGACCTTTATCTCTATGGGCAAAAGCAAAAGCATAAGTATTCTGCTCCTATTAACTTTTTAAGACTATACATGGATACATTAGAATAAAGTTAACATCTAACACTATCACATTAAACTCTTGATTACACACTGGAGCTATTATAGTTTCAGCTTTAGGGACATGCATTATCTTCTGAGCCATATCCTTATTTCCATGAGAAATAAATTCTACAGTTTTTCTCAGGTTTGACTGCCTTATGAAGTTCTGTAAACATTAAAAAAAACATAGGATTTAAATTGTACAACTACATGTAAGGTGGACCACCTTGCAGATTCTCAGGGGTACCTCTTCTAGGATGGTACAGCAAAAGGAGGTTGGGATTTATTGTAAAAAAACAAAATAAAACAACCAACACAGTTCAAATCAAACCTCTCTTTCAATTGGCTATAAAACCTTGGTCAAGTCACAGTTATATTAAGTCTTGGTATCTTTACCATAAAAGTAGATGCTGATATCTATCTCATAGGGTTATAGGGATTAAGTAAGGAATAATACTTGGCAAAATATAAAGCACTGTGAGAACATAATCTATTATTGTTTTATAGGAAACCAGGTTTTAAATTTTTTCCTACTTTAATGTCTTTCCTATGGTCTTCTAGTTCTAAAGTTAGACCCCCAACATCTTATCATATAGTATTATTAGATATGTGCTCACCTTGGCCTAAACTGTCTACAATAAGATGGCACAGAGTATTAGACCAACACTAAAAGAGCTGAACACCAATGTTCGGTGTTTTTTCTATTGTCCACACATAGTGTGGTAGAAGTGAGAGGATTTTAAACAATGCCACAAGACACTTCTATTATGGACAGTTTCTGATGGACATCAAGGAAGGAATTTCATCCTCATCAGTTTGTCTTCTGAATTATATTCTTAGCTCCTGACCCAGTGCTTGGCATAGAATAAGTGCTTAATACAAGTTTGGTGGATCAAACTGTTCATGAGATACAATAGAGGGGTTAATCTAACAAGCTGAAATGGGAAAGGGACATGGAGAAAAACATCCTAAGGAAAGAGCCTCCCTAGAGCAATAAGTGTCTAAAAACAAGTCGTTCATGGTCCCAGGCATCCTGAAGACAGGATGAGGGCCCTATCAGATAGGCACAGAGTGGGCTGAGGGCAGAAAAGCCTGAGGGTAGAGCCCAATCTATGCAGACTGCGGGCATTTCCCAGACTGCTGTAGTACACAACAGTCAATGTGAGACCAGGACTGGCATGAAGCTGGCCTGGGCAGGAGGGCCTGGGACCAGAGTGGTCAATCAGACCAACAAGACGAACAGGACCCAGGTGATTCCTATCCTCAGGGCTCTGGCCCAGAAGGGGTCAGGTAGAGACCAGGACACTTATGGATGACCCTCTGGGGTAGGCGGACCCGAGGATCATAGTTCTGAGAGGTGAGGACCTAGAAAGCAGGGGAGAAGAGTGCAAGTGAGCTCATCCAGCAGTCAGAGGAGCAGGGGAGAGTGTGTCCAGCTGGGGCAAGGAGGTGCTCTGGGGCCAAGTGCAATGGGTAAAGTAACTGCTGTGGGTGTCCTGAGGAGCCTGAGGAAAGTGTCTCCCAGTCAGTAGTGCAGAGCAATGTATGGCTGTGCAAGGGCAAGGAGACAGGGAGAGCTGGACACTATGAGTGGAGTGGCAGTGGTGGCAGCAGCAGCAGCAGTGGTGGTGGTGGTGGCAGCAGCAGTGGCAGGTAGGGCAGAAAGCCCTCAAAAGTGGATTTAGGTAATGCAGAGGGAGTCCGAGGAGCCCTGCAGCCAGCATACTGCTAGAGACACATTACTACCAGCAGAAAACGATGTTCAGGTGAAGACCAGTGTGGAACCCAAGGAAAGGATGTTGAAGACCAGGACCAGGATTAAGACTTTGCCTCTAGCCACCCCTGGCCAGAAGATTTTTCCAATCCCTAGTAAGGAGGGATTAGTAGTTAAACAAAAATCAATCTGTGGTACACATTATATATTTAGTTCTATATAGGTCCAAGTTCATTGTTCAGTAAACTATAGTGTTCACCCTACTGGTGCTCTCCTTCCTAGCCCTGTAACCAGATATTTTTGTGATTTCCAAAGTTCCAAGTTCCAGAAACCCGTCAGATGTTGTAAAACAGAAATGGGTAAACCTACTGGCCACGTGTTAGGATTTGCAGCCCAGAAACTGAGCCATCAGGCCCCAGGTCACACGGTAGGTTCTGTCATCAATTGGAGATGGCTAGGGGACTAAGTCTCACATGATAGCCCCTAAACAATAACTAGTGAGCCTCCTGATGAAATACAGCCTGCTTGAAGGGAGTCAGTCTACCATCTCAGGAGGTGGTATACTGATTCTTCTCAGTGATAAGGGTGTTTTGGTACAGATTAGTCTTAGAAACAGCAGACCTAGGAGTCACATGGGCACCCACAAGCCTTTCCTATAACCTACCCCGATACCTCCAATTCCCAAATCCTTCCTACTATGCTTTATATCCCACTTCTACTTGGTTTGTACTCAGAGAAAAAAAACAGCTTGTCAGCATTTATGATGCAAAGCCTTCAACTTCCTCTTTTTCAAATTTAATAATTCTGATTGCTCCTTGCATAAGACTTAGCTACAAATCATTTAATTGTCTCCATGTCTGGCTCTCCTTTGTGTCCTCTCCCAGTTTTCCATATCTCTCCTAGTTTTAGCTCAGGGTCAGGCTCTGTCCTCAGGCAAAGAGATGGCAGAGACTGAGAGCCACCCCAGGTTTCCATTCCTGCTCCATGTGACATCTGCGCTCATTCCTGCTTACTATCACAAAGCTTAGTGCTGTGTTTTAGACCCAGGCACCAGGATCATTCTCGCTGGTGATTAACATAAGGTGCTGGTAGAGGCTCTGATGGTCCAGCGTGAGATGTACCAAGAGAAGAAAGGTGCCTGTGTGGTAACAAAGTGCCAGAGTCTCATAGATGATTGTAGCATTTCTGGCAGGCACAGACTCAATCAGGTACTTTTTTTGAGCTTTTGAGTATAATAAACCTCTTAAGAGAAAAATCTCTGCTTCTTAAGGCCACATGTGGCCCTCCAGATCCCCAACTGCAGCGCCTCAACCGAATCCAAACTTCACAGACAATAAATCCTTTTATTAAAAGGATTTGTTCCACAAAATTTGGATTCAGTCAAAAGGCTGTACTCAAGGATCTAGAAGGTCACAGGTTCCCCACCCCTGTGGGTAGCAGTGGGCAGATTAGTCAGTTTGCATTCTAAACTATTAACCATGATGTCTTGATTACTAACAGTTTCCTGTAGTTTATGAAATTGTTATGTGACCGATGACTTCCTGATTTTGATTTTAGAATCTGAGCTCAGCAGCATGCAGGCAGGATGTTTGGGATTCAAGGTGAGCAGGCATTACCTGAGGCTCCACGTCTAGTATTGCAATCAGCCCCTGCTCGTGGATCTTCCGGATGGTCTCCAGTTTTGTCCCATACATGGCATCCTCGTGGCTGCCATACTCCAAGTACTCATTATTAGAGATGTCTTGCATCATTTGGTCATGAGATACAAAGTAATAATTCTTTCCATTTTCTTCATCTTTCTTCGGAGGTCTGGTTGTATCTGCAAAGTTGCATACCACGAGAGGCTTAAAAGGCTGAGCTGATGAGCTTACACTCCCAAATAGAATTACTCAGACCCAATCTCAAGCTGTGGGCTCTTTATCATACATTACACATCCCCATTCCCACTTCCAGTAGCTTTGTAGAACTAAATTCTAGAAACCGTATTTATGTGTGTATATCAGACCACAGCACCCAGTGAGTTGTTTGATTTGGTGAATCTGTCAGTGTTTAGGTGAGATATATTTCATCCCTTCATGGGCCATGAGAGGAGAATGACCCAAGATTAACACAACTCACAGAATGCTTTAATGTAGTTGGGTCTTGAGCAGAAGAAAAAAAAGAAGGATAAAAGAAATGGAAAACTACATATGGTTATTTAAATTTAAATAAATTAAAATTAAGTAAAACACAAATTTCAGTTCCTCAGTCTTACCAGCCATATTTTGAGGGTTCAATAGCCACATGTGGTTAATGGCTACTGTACTGGATGGTGCAGATAGAGAATAATGTAATTATTGCAGAAAGTTCTACTGGATAGTGCTAGATTCTATAGCATCTTGCAAAAGGAAAATGTAGACTATAGTAAAAAGCACACCATATTGAAAACACAATGACCTTAGACAATGTGGCCAGAAAGACCTAAACCAGAAGGTGGTAATCTGGCTCGTGTAAGTACAAGAACTGTCTGTTCTTGTAAATAAAGTTTTACTGGAACACAGCCATGCGCATTTATTTATATATTGTCTATGGCTGCTTTCATACCACAACAGCAGAGCTGAGTAGCTGGGACAGACTATATGGTCTTTAAAGCCTCAAATGTTTATTTACTATTTCGTCTGTTATAGAAAAAGTTTGCCTATGCTCACCTAAATGAAAGTCTATACCAATAAATCCTAGTTCTGTGGCTACTAATAGGACCTGTGTAAACACACTTTATATAATGTTTTTCTAGATGAGCCAGGAATTTTGGTTTTAATTCATTCTTTTCCTCTCTTTCTTCCTTTCTTTTCCCATCCTTTCTTTTTCTTTCTTTCCTCCCACTCTCTTTCTCTTTCTTTTAATTTCTTTCCTTCTTCTTTCCTTCCTTCCTTCTTTGAACAAGAACAAATTTATGTTATTCACTGCAAACCAATGAAGAATTTCCCCCCTCTTGCTATACCCTTCAAATGGCCAGGTGCTCATTGACATTAACACAAGGAGATTTTAAATAAAAACCCTCTTTCCCAGTACATCAAAAGCTGAAGTAATGGCATCATATATTGATGCACTATCTTCAGTTGTCTCACTAGTTAAATATATGTTATATACACATCTGGGGTCAAATATTTTAGAGAGTAGACATGCTTGGTGTCAGCAAAGGTAAGCTTTAAAACCAAGCTAGTTAACTGGCCATTTAATAACACAGAAGTTCAATTCATAGGTGATCAAGAAGTTAAATGTTAGGCAAACTTGCTGTACTTATGGTCTAGACATATGGGGAATTAAAAAAACATTTTAAAGTATTTAACTAGAAAACCCTAGTAGCACCAAATGAAATGGTATTTGATAAATTATTTTCTTGTGTGAATCAGACAGGGTTCTGTAATGAGGGTGGTTTTATGAAGCCTCCTGGTTCTCTGAAGCATACAGATAATTGTAAGTGGTGTTGCTTCATGAAGGCATCACAAAATGGAGCCAACCTTTACATTTTCTCTTGTTGCTCTTAAAAGAAATCATTCTCCTTTACCTCTTTCCACCCTGAACAAAGCTCTGTCTGCTAGAAAGCTTTTGGGACTGAAATTTTAAACTTTAGAAAAATAATGATAATAATAAAATGACAGTGGTAATATGGCTACCACTTATCTCCCATCTGCTAAGTGCTTCACACACAGGACCTCAAATCCTCTTTACAACCCCAGATTACTTCATTTTACAGTTAAGGAAAGAAAGAGGACAAGAGGTTAAGAATAAGATATAGAAAATAAGGGGAATTAAAAATCTTACAGATTTGAAATTCTTTTTTTCCCCAGATTTGAAATTCTTTATTGTAAACAACTGATAGCACATTGATTAGGTTTTAAAAGTGATAAGAAGTCAATAATTTAGATACTGATTGAGGAAAACATTGTCATATCAGACTAAAGTATGCAACTATTTTTTTTAATTACTGGGGATTCATTGAGGGTACAAAGAACCAGGTTACACTGCTTGCAAAGTCCCTCTCTATGCAACTATTAAAACCTGTTTCCCTGAAGAATAATTCATCTAGGTAATGTTTATGACATACTATTAGAAAAATTAAGTTATAAACAGAATGAATTAGATTAATTTTATTAGAAAACACAAACATAACACACACAAACTATACATATATATATTTACACTAAAAGAAGCCTAGTAGGGTAGACAGTAAAATATTTATAACACTTATTATTGGGGAAGCAGAGTTGGAATTATGGCTAGCTCATTTTTTTCTTTGTTCTTTTTTAGATTTTATAGATTTCGTACAATAAACAGCTATCACTTATGTAATAAAAATATATATACTATAAAGTTAAAAAAGGGATAGGAAAAATAAAATGAAAGGAGATCGAAACATTGCTTACGTGGAATAGGGTATGCAAACCGGTCTGGGTGCTTCGTGATGAGGGTGTTTTTTATGTGTCTTCTCCCAACACCATGCGCACCTACGTCATTTTTTAAAAATGATGTTAAAATTGACAACTCTTAACAATCTTCACAAAATGTTTTGAAGGTGAGCAGAAGCAAGCCACTTATACAATCAAACTTACCTAATAAGACTAATGTTTTCCTTTTGAATGCTGGCAGTTTTACTACTTCTTCGTATGTAACAAGATCTAATTGATCAAACACTAAAATGCAAAGATTTAGAAGAAAGGTCAATTTATAGAATGAATATTTCACATAGGTAAATTATAATTTTACTGGCAAAACCATTAGAACCATGTCTTAAAATGTATGAATCCAACTTATATATATGGATTACTTATAATTTAAGTCTATAGCCTTTAGGGAGAAAATTTCACTTTGAAGCCCATGAAAATGCACTTTAGAACCAGGGGCATTCAAAGATATGTTGAACACATGCACAGAAGTCCAATTCTAAAAGATACTGCAAATCTTTTCATGTAGCATCCAACAAATCATATGAATTTATTCAAAACCACATGCTGTTCAAATTTTTCCAATTCTAAGTAATCAGCAATACTAAAAAGAAAAAAATCTACAGACAGTGACCAACATGAATACAGCATGAATGCAACTAAAGTTAACCAAGAGAGGGGCCAGCTAGATCATTTGCAGAGATGGGTGAGAAAAGCATGAACAGTTGGTCTTTAACTTCATGTTTCTTTCTTGATGAAGGTAACATGCTAGATTTTTTTCAAACTGAAGTTCTGTAACTATTTCACAAGCTTTTAAATGAGCATCTGACAAGTTTTATTGCAATCCAGATATCCATTCAGTGGAAAGTATTGGGTATGTCAGTAGAGTAACATGCTTCTCTGGGCCTGAAACCTTGTTGGTCATTACTTAGGCAACCTGTGTGTGATGGATAAGGATGAAAAGGATGGAAAGAATCATGAAGCAGAGTCTGAGCATGGAAACCTTTGCAAGGAGAGAGTTCTCTAATCATTACAGACTGAGAAGAAATACTTCAGCAAGTATTTTTTTGAAAACTGTCTCTTAATACTGTTACAAAAATAATTTCAAGTAATGTATGAAATTTCCTGAGTGGATAACCATTTCTATTGAAGTTCAACATGGTCCAACTCTCACACACATTTGAAAATTCTCACAAAAGGCTAAAATACGTCTATAATTTTTGGGGGGTGGTATGGTCATACCAAAATGCTGTTAGTTACATACTGAAGTTTCCTTTTTTTTTTTCAAAGAATATTAAATAAGCCCTAGATTTTACAGGGGTTGAAATAAATTCAATAAAATTGATTCCATAGTGTAATAAAGGAATCTGGGCTATTTTAGTCAATCATTAAGAGAAACTTCTACTTCCTAAAACAATATGGCCAAATGATTATGAGTATCAGCTCAGATCTTAACATTTGTGATCTTCCCAGTAACAAAGAACTTTAAAGTGCAAAGTAAAATACTCTAGAAAGCCATAGATTAGAAACAAACAAAAAGCATCATTCTCAAAATATATAAAAAAGAAATGCAATGGATTAAAATAAGGGTTAGTGCATATTAATGGGTATGTGTGCATTTTTCTTTTGATAACTTGATTCTATAAGGTTCACTAAAAGTCTTTAAAGCACACCCTCTAGCAATAGCTAAAAATATTTTTGTGTTCAGAATGGCAGATTCACAAAATTAAAATGAACATAAGGCTCTCTGTGGTAGAACTATCTAGTTATACTACAGCAGTAATGGAGTGATGAGGGTTGCAAAAATAAAAGCAGGAGTGCTGATGGCATTGCTTACTATGCCTATTACCCTCTGAGTGATATTTCCATCAAGAAAAAGTATGCTTATGAAAGAAATGTATTGTCAAGCTGATATGTTTTATTATGTAAAAATAATCAAGCATCTCACGAAAGAGCAAGATGATGACACAAACTTTCCAAATAGAATACATATCCCTCTCCCTCTACAGCAGCGGTTCTCAACCTGTGGTTCACAACCCATAGGAGCTGTATTAAAGGGCTGTGGCATTAGGAAGGTTGAGAACCACTGCTCTACAGAATCCTAACTCTGATCTTATCAAATTAAGACTTGTCATTTTTTTTAAACACAAAATAATGCATTAGAGATTGACAACATCACAAACAATGAACAAATATGTTAGACATCAATATCTTAGCCATAAATGAGTAGCATGAAGAGGTTACTTTGGTCTAAATGAAATTACCAGATGGTCACAGGGTTGAGAAACAATAAAGATGGGTATTTTAAAACAAGAGATACAGGAATATTAGGAGAGCACTTCAAGACTGAACTTTTAAAGGTTTTAAGTTGCTTGCTGAAAGAAAAAGAAGCACTTAATAAAAGGAAACCATGAAAAACACAGAGGCATAGTCATTCAACAGGTTACTTACATGCACAGAGGCCATTGGGAGTGAGACAGCATGAAAAATGTACAGGGGTCATTGAAATATGGCTTTTCATATATTAGTAAAATAAAAGTATAATATGCACAAAATAAACTTTATCATGCAATATTCTAAACACAAGGCAAATAAATCACATTAAGAAACAAACTAATTTTAATACAAATTTAACAATATCCTTATGTAAAAGCCAGTGGGTTTTAGATATTAGCATATGCATAGAAATTTTGTCTGGGAATAGTTAGAAACCCTCTTGAGAGAGTGTAGATGTGGAAGCCTTTTGCTTTTCACTTTGCACCTTCATGTATTGTCTGTAATCTCTAATTTTGTGTACCTATGACTATTATTATTATATATACACACACATATATTTTACTATTATTATCTTATTTTAAAATTCCAACAGGGCAGAGAGGTTGTGGGCTACTTTTTGTTTTCTTTGTTTTTTTGAGACAGAGTCTCCCTCTGTTGCCCTGGGTTGAGTGCTGTGGGATCATAGCTTACAGCAATCGCAGTCTCCTGAACTCAAGCAATCTACCCACCTTGGCCTCCCAGAGTGCTAGGATTATAGGCATGAACCACCACTGGTAGCCTACTTTTTGTTTTCTTTAGAGTTGTTTGTATTGAAGAAAAAAAACCCAACTTTTAAAAGTCAAAAGTACCAATTTGGGATATTAAGCATAATTTGAATACACCTATGAATGGTATTCTAGAGAGCCTCTATGTTCATATGTATGTATGTAAATGTGGTCTTTCAAGACTCTGACATTTAAAAGAATAAATTCTGGCTTGGCGCCTGCGGCTCAAGTGGCTAAGGTGCCAGCCATATACACCTAAGGTGTTGGGTTCGAATCCAGCCTGGGCCCGCCAAACAACAATTGACAGCTACAACTAAAAAAAAAAAATAGCCAGGCGTTGTAGCAGGCGCCTGTGGTCCCAGCTACTTGGGAGGCTGAGGCAGGAGACTCGCTTGAGCCCAGGAGTTGGAGGTTGCTGTGAGCTGTGATGCCACAGCACTCTACCCAGGGGGACAGCTTGAGGCTCTGTCTCAAAAAAAAAAAATAATAATAATAAAAAAAGAATAAATTCTGAAGATTTTTTAATTTTTATTTATTTATTTTGAGACAGGGTCTTATTATGTCACCCTCGGTAGAGTGTTGTGGCGTCACAGCTCACAGCAACCTCAAACTCTTGGGTTTAAGTGATTCTCTTATCTCAGCCTCCCAAGTAGCTGGGACTATAGGCGCTGGCCACAATGCCCAACTATTTTTTTGTTGTCATTGACATTGCTATTTAGCAGGCTCTGGCCTGGTTTGAACCCATCAGCCTGGGTGTATGTGGTTGGCACCCTAACCACATACACCTAGCTATGGGTGCCACCCAATTTTCTAATTTTTAAAAACATTCACATTAGTAACTTGGTCTAGAACAGATTTCTGGAAGTCCTGTGACTGAGGAATCTAAATGCCTGTCGAGTACAGTTCTTTTAGTAGCATAACAATGCTTTTTGCACCAAATGTATGTGGCTAAAAGTCTTTTATCTTGTAGAAAATGTATTTTCTGTAAAAAAAAAAATATATCCTAGTCAAATATATTCCCAAGGATTCAGAAATACTGTCTGGCATAATTTGCTCATATTACCTCAATTTCCTGGTAAGCTACTCAACACTGCAGACACTTCTTTTAAGTATTTAGGTTATTACTTTCCAGTTGAATCTTTCCCATAAAAAGTCATTAACATTGAATCCTTGACTCAGTTGGAAACACAACAAATATCTTTGAATACTATAAAAATCTCCCATTAAAAAGTGCATTGTATACTGGTAGCATTGGGCCAAGGAGTGCACATGAAAAGCCTGCAGTGGACAGGTAGTTAATGAGGTTGAATGAAGTGGGCCAGATGCAAAAACAGAGTGGTGGGGATGGTGGGTACTAGAGAATGAATGTCCATTCAAAGGAGACATTAATATAATAGCCCAGAGTTGCTAAGAGAGAACATGGAACTGGTATTGCTGCTATCCCTGTCCTTCTAAGGGAAGTCTGAAACTCAAATTTTTATGTTAAATAGTCTGACTTTCAAATGAGATAACTTATTAGAATTACTGTAAACACTGTGTGTTTATGTGTATAAACAAAATTTATTTATGGGTCAAATTCAGCTAATAGGTTGCGACTTTATGATGTGAGATGTAGGCAACACAGTTTGAACAGAATTCTACTTTAACTAGTTACATAGAATTTCCTAGTGACAGAAATAGAAATAACTAATCTAGTATTGTCCTTTCCATGAGCTCCAGACAGTGACAAAGTTTTCACCCTTCATCTGTACCACAAGTATAAATAACTTCAGAATTTGATAATAAAGTTTGGATTTTGCCGTGAATATATGATAAATTCTCAAAGATTTGAGGCAGGAAACAAAACATTTAGCCCTTATTTTAACCTACTGAGTACTATGAAAAGAACAAAGATTATACTGTATTTTACAACCAACTTCTGAAAAACTTAGATGAAAAATCAGAGATATAGTTTGATCTGTGGCCCATGAGCCCATTTAGCTAGTTTTTGGTAATAAAGACTATGATACTTCCAAGTTTTCAAAGCTTCTCCTTCGCCAATGGAGGTCAGTAGGTCAGTAGCATTCTACTATTTTAGAGCAATTCTTTACATGGGCAATTCTACAAATTAGAGTATACTTTCATCATAGCTAAAAGCAGAACAACTGATTAAAATACCTGACTTTGCCCCCAGACAATCAAGCAAATGATTCTTCTAGACTTTCTAATGAACAAAGTGGAAGAGTTGGTTGATGAAGAGGAAGAAAGCTGAAGAGATTGTGATAGAAAGGAATGCTAGGCTTTTGTGAGGAAGCATATTCCAAAGTCTAGGAAAAAAGCTAGGCATCTTCTCTGGAATAGAGAAACTAAGAGGAGAGCTCATGAGTGATTATTCTGCAGGTGAGAGAACCCTAATGATGACATTCTGACTTGACAAACACAAATAAGCTTAAACAGTAAGTTCTACAAAGACACTTAAGGGGACCTTCTAACGAGCCCAGACTTTCTTTCACAGGAGGGCTTCATATACAGTGACAAATACTGACATACAGAACAATCCTTTAAGTGTGTCAAGGAAGGCTATGATGCCCAGAAGATCATTGATTAGGAAAATATCGATGATAACAAAAAAGTGGTGGCAGTAGGTCCCCCTACCTTCACCTTCCCTCGTTTCAAGTTCATAAGAACTTAGATAGGTGAGTGGTTTGGGATAGGAGGTGCAATGTCAAATGACAGAGGAAAAAGCAATTCTATTCTACCCCTAGTAGGCTCCTGCTTGCTATATCGAAGACACTACCTTTCAACCTTGCAGGCAATGTTTATCAGGGAGCTAAAATCTGACATAAGGGATAATACAAGAATCTTTGGCTTCATTAATGAGGGCATGAGGCAAGAGCTCACCTAATGTGCACATTGTGATGATGTATACTACGCCCTCTGGGTGAGGGGCTCTTCTACAAATAGAACTTTACCCTGGAAGTGAGAACAATGTAACCTAAAAATTGTACCCTCATATTAATTTGAATATATAAAAAATACTCAACAAAACAAAACAAAACAAATGATACCCATTTGTCAGGCCCAATAATGAAAGAACCGTATATCCACTGAACTTTAGAACTAGAGAAGATCTCCTTGATTGGTTAACCTTCTTGTTTGGAGGCCCATAGGAGGTAAGTGATTTGCCCAAATATCTCAGTTGTGCTAATTCCTGGTTCTATCTCAGGCTGCCGATTAAGCTCACAAGTGCATTTGCAAGACCACTACGCATCAACTAATAGGAATCAGAGAATGAGAACAACAGAAGATCAGTGATGCTCTAGTGGCCAAAGAACTAGAAAAGTGAAACTGTGGAAAAAGTGAACCGTGGAAAACACTGGCTGCCAGATGGATGTAGATTCTCTGGTACAATTCTTAAATGAATGACTTAATTGATTCTTTGTCAGTATTTAGAAAATTCTAGTTTTTCAATGAATTTGCTTATTTTTCCTCAGATCTGAATTATAGAATATTGCCAAACTGAATACTCATGTCTACACACCCTCCATCAGTAAAGTATAAAACTAATGATAAACTGAAAGTCTTAATCAGCCATTTCTTTGCTCTTCTAGGTTTAAATTAATTTTAGTGCCATCTATATATATCATTTAACATTGTTATAAAAATTACAAGGTGTTATACATAAATTTCTTATATTTTTATAATGTCATCCCACCTCCTTGTGAGCCTATTAGATTGTGTTAGATTGTTAGAAGCTGATAGAAATAAAGGCAACAAAGGAGACTTGACAATACTGATGACATTTTGTGTTAAGCAATATTGTGCTGATACAGCAGTGCCTTTCTTTTTAATTAATTTCTATTTTTATTTTATAGAGATAGGGTCTCACTATGTTGCCTAGGCTGGCCTTTACCTCCTGAGCTTAAACAATCCTCTTACCTCAGCTTCCTTAGTAGCTGGGACTATATATAGGTACATGCCACCACACTTGACTCTGCAGTGCACTTCTTCAAATAGTACTCCTTGACTGCTTACTTAATAGTTACTACATATGCTTATCAGTCTGCTTTAAATAGTTCTTCCATTTATAAAACCAAAAAAGCCATATAATGAGACTAGTACGCTAGTGCGCTATAGTACTATGTAGATTCAGAAATGATACATTTTATTGGAAATAAAAATGTAGTATGATGTAATGTGAAGAAAAAGACTCTTCATTTAACTGAACAATATAAACTTAACCCATGCGGCCGCTCACATTCATTTTGCATTATACAGCATTTCTTTTTTACTTTATTTTATTTTTTTGAGACAGAGTCTTACTATGTCACCCTCAATAGAGTGCTGTAACATCATAGCTCACAGCAACCTTAAATTCTTGGGCTTAAGTGATTCTCTTGTCTCAGCCTTCTAAATACCTAGGACTACAGGCACCGCCACAATGCCAGGCTATTTTTTTGTTGCAGTTGTCATTGTTGTTTAGCAGGTCCGGGCCGGGTTCAAATCTGCCAGCCTCAGTGTATGTGGCCAGTGCCCTAACCACTGAACTATGGGCACCAAGCCTCTTTTTTATTTTTATTTTTTAGACACACTGTGTCTCCCAGGCTAGAGTGCAGTGGCACAATCATAGCTCACTATAACCTTGAACTCTTGGGCTCAAAGGATTTTCCTGCCTTAGCCTCTTGAATAGCTGGGACTATAGGCATGTGCCACCATGCCAGATTAATTTTTAAATTTTGCATAGAGACCGGGTCTCACTATGTTGCCCAGACTGGTCTTGAACTCCTTGGCTCAAGAGATCCTCTCATTTTGGCCTCCCAAAGTGCTGGGATTATAGGTGTCAGTCACTGCTCCCAGCCCATATGGCATTTCAGGATGTTTACTTTGAATCTCTGATTGAGAAATAAGCAATTCAGCATTTATAAATAATTTTTCCTAGTGAATGCTAATGCATGTTATAACGTTCTAAAGAGAAAAATGCATTTCATATTTGCCAAAAACATTACACTGTCAAATTGGGTGTATATGACTGGATTCACTTGATTTTTGGGGCCATACGTTTGATTTTTGGAGTTATTTCTGAAACCTTGGGAAATAATCTAATGCCAGTATCTGGGCTTTTAATTCCTCAGAAAAAGTTCCTTATAAAAGGAGACATTTTTTTTTTTTTTTGAGACAGAATCTTACTTGTTGCCTTGGTAGAGTGCTCTGGCATCACAGCTCACAGCACTTCCAACTCTTGGGCTCAAGCAATTCTCTTGTCTCATCCTCCCGAGCAGCTGGGACTATAGGCACCTGCCAAAACGCCTGGCTATTTTTAGAAATGGAGTCTTACTCTGGCTCAGGCTGATCTCCCACCCGTGGCAATCTATCCACCTCTGCCTCCCAGAGTGCTAGGATTATAGGTGTGAGCCACCATGGCTGGCCATAAAAGAATAATATTAAGAAGTTACTGAAAATAAGTAAATCTCACTCTGTATATAACCACGCATTTTCTTTTAGCTCAAGCTACATCCTGTGAATCTTCTGGGAATTCTATTGCAATGACAGCTTATTTTCATTTTTAACAAAACAAATGAATATTTTTTACTTAAGTTGAACACAAGCTTCCACATAGACAAACCTACATAATCTGAAGGGAGGGCCAAGGTAATATCCTTGGTCTTTTAGGAGCCTCAAAATACCATGAGGGGAGAAGACCACTTAAGAAACTGACTAACCAAGTTAGTATACATGTCATCTGTGCTCTTACAAATGAACCAGTGAACCACTTGCACAGGTGTCTGATAAGAGTACATGTTTGCCCTTAAGTATCCGTCATGGGGCTATGTCCAAGGGCCAGAGAGGAGCCAGGAGGGAGAGATCTGCTCAAGGCCAATCCCAGTCAAGGAGGTATGAATCCTGGTGACTCAGCCAACTCTCAAGCTCTCATGGGAAGATTTAACGTGTTGGGTTCTTTCATTCAGTTCCAGAGGATTCTATTTCAAACCAGCATTTTCATCCTATAAATTATACCTCTGTAAAATATCTGGCAAATAAATAATATATTAATTGGAGATAAGGGTTTCTTAAAGGTTTTGTAAATTGATGAAGATCTTGTATGGTAGAATTTTTTAGGACAGAGAACTCTGAAGACTGAATTGAAATGTTATATTCTTTTAGGTTTTGGAGATGCTAAACCTGGCCTCAGTATTAGTTGTACTTTTTCCTACCTGCATTGTGCTTTGCCAAATATTTATCTTTGTACTGCTTCTTTTTCTTGCCAAACCAAGTACAGCTGGCCTGCTGCTCCTGTTTGGTCTTCTCCATGGCAATGCAAGCTACTCGCCTAGTACACAAAGAAAGAAAAAAATAACAACAAAATTAATGTATGGTTTTGTGTCAATAAAATAGAAGAATCATTAATTTAAAGAATTTACATGAAGCCCCTAACAATAAAATACTAAAAGAATTTACATGAAGCATCATAAACATACTTATCACAACCTTTCAGATCATTCAAATAAAGCCTGTTTTTGTTGTTGTTGTTATTGTTTAGATAGTCTCACTCTGTTGACCTTAGTAGAGTGCTGTAGCATCACAGCTCACAGCAACCTCAAACTCCTGGGCTCAAGCCATTCTCTTGCCTCAGCCTCCCAAGTAGCTGGGACCACAGGTGCCTGCCATAACACCTGGCTAGGTTTTTTGTTTTTAGTAAAGACAGGGGTCTTGCTTTTGCTCAGGCTGGTCTTGAACTCTTGAGCTCAAGCAATCCACCCACCTCAGCCTCTCAAAGTGCTAGGTTTACAGGCATGAGCCACTGTGCCTGGCTTGTTTTTTGTTTTTTCATGGCAATTTCCTAGAAATGTTTTAAAAATATTGGCTTATGTTAAAACAGCATTGTATTCCTTGAGCATAAGCTGATAACACAGATAAGAAGCCTAAATATATGGCCATGAGATACAGAGGGATGGATGATCATGGGACTTTGAGTCAAGGCAGGCCTGGTTTGAATCCTGGCTATATCACTTACTAGCTGGTATTGAGCATTTAGTGTTAGGCACTTTTCCAGAAACTTTGATTCATTTACTATTTCCTTTTTTTTTTTTGAGGTGCAATTGTTATTATTTTATTAGGAATGTACTCTTACTAAAAATGTAAAAATATCCTATCACATCTGAAAAACTTTAAAACTGCTTTTCAAGTACTTATCCATTAGAATCGTGTTGGATTGACTCAATCTATGTTGAATAGTCAATAAAAGTAGGTGTGCTAATTCGTTTTGTTACTTGCAAGTTTGGATTAAAGCTACAATTGTGGGTTAATAAATATTTTATGTTTATTTGCTAATGCTGTGTTAAAGTGTTATAATGCTGTCTTGCTTTATGAAGATTATACCACTGATCTTTAATTAGTAGAGTATGTGCATTTAATGATTTTTTCCTGGAACTGAGAGAGAATTTGTGCTAAGTTGGTCACATTTTCTCATCTAGTAAAAGATTGGCAATATTAATTTTTCACGTGGTCAGCAGAACACTTCTAGTTCTATTTAGCCTAACTCAAATCTATTCATGTAAACAATTATAGACCTCTATCATAATCATAGTTATAAACACATGTTAAATACTTTTCAGTAATTAAATAAGTTTATGTAAGAAAGCCCAATATGAAAGTGGTTAAAATCATTTTCAACCGTTATCACTCTCTAAGATCTTCAGCAGTCCATGTGTCAAGTTGCCACGAGCAAATAAAACAATTATATATATTAAAAAATCCAAAATAAATAAGTAGTGCTAAAACAGAATAACAATTATTAGTTGTGTGGTGAATGGAAATGAACCACCTTTGATAATATGGTCCCCATAGGGAAGGAGGAGAGTTTTTGCTTGTTTTTAAATGGCCACAACATAGTGAGACTTCACTTCTTAGAGAAGTTTACCTTGGGTCTCCTTCAACTCGCTTCTTATGAACCAGGTTGCTATTCTTTGTGATGGCAGCTGCCACCCTTGTTTGGGGTCCTTTCTTGGTAAACTGATATCCAAAATTGAGGATTCATGAATTCTCCTCCAGCATCTAGGTAATTTCCATCTCTAAGGCTGTTCCCAACTGCTGCCTCTCGTTGCCCATCTTGATCTCTGTCAAGGTGTCATTTTCTTTCAGTGCAACTACCAGGGCCAGGATCCCAGTTTCAGTGATAAAATTGGATTCTATGTTTAGACTTTTCCAGGTCTTGTTTACTTTCAATGTATCTGCAAAAGCAATGGCCACAGGGTCATTGGTGCGGGTTGCAGCCAGGTTGAACTTTTCTACATGAGTATTGGTCTCCAGAGCCTTTGCAAATTCCTTCAGAGTTGGAACTGGAATGTTCTTAATGTTGTTGAGGTTGACTTCTTGCAGGCCAGGATTGTTGGCTTTCATCTGCTGTAGACTTGTTTCCACATTTGTGGGATTGGGTGGTTCCTCAAATACTGGCTTGACCTTCTCACCTTTGACCACGTTTCTTATAGGCCCTTTGCCATCTTTACTATTGGCTGTTTCTTCATCAAACTTTGGAATGTTGAGTAAATTGTGTACTCCAAGGACAGCTGCAAGATTATAGATCAGCATCAGAGGCGTTGGCCAAAGCTGCTTCCAGTTCTGGGTTAAGGGTCACCTTTTCTTCTTTATGAGTTTCTACAGGCTTTTCTTTGGGTATAACTCTTCCCTTTTTTTCTCCAGTGAAGGGCCCAAAGTCCTCCCTGTCTTTCTGCTCCAAAGCCTCCTTCTCTAGGTACATAAGGAGGTGCTGGTGGTCAAATGGGCTGGTGGTTGCTTTCTGTGGTCTTTCTGTTGGAATCCAGCTGGCAGCATTGAACTTTCAGGATCTAGGTCACCTAGAACATTTTCCAACTGCTTCAGTTCTCTCTTCTGAGAGTATTCCAAGAAGCTCATCTTCGCCAATGTTCTATATTTCTCCAGCTCTTTTTCAAAAGGGAGTGCCATAGCTTGTTATATCCCTTTCTCATGGGCCATGCACATTTAATTGGGCCAGCTTCTCGAGGCTTCAGAGTACTACCATCCCTGTGCCCATCCTGGAGCTAGCGGTCAGGGCAGTCAGTCCCTCAGCCCCAAGGTAGTGGGGCTGGGAGAGAAGGGGCAGCACCATGGCTGCGTCAAGTGTGGCAATTAACAGGCGGCCTCTGGCCAGGCCGGCACCGGGCAGTGTGGCCTCATTTAATATTTCTAACAATACAGGGGACTGCCCCACCATTTTGTGGGTGGGAGAATTGAAGGACTGAGAGATTAAGCAATTTGTCCTAAATCTCACAGCTAATAAGTGGGAGACTAGGGAAGGTCTGTCACCAGAGCCCACGAGGTTAGCTAGAACATTCTATCAGCAAAGTCTTTCTCAGAGCCTCTTGGGTGGCTGTTGTAAAGGATTAGAATGAAAAGTGTATAGTGTCAGCCGCACAGTAGATGTTTAATAAGTGGTACTACTACTACTACATGGTGACTCTAGTCTAAGATAGAAAAGTATACTATGATTAAATTCATTTATAATCACAATCAGAAAATTATAATTTTGTTCTACTTGATCATAATATCTAGCATTGGTAACATAGGCAGAGATAATGTTAAAAAATTGCTCTCTAGCTGGGCATAGTAGTAAGTGGGACTACAGGTACATACTCAAGAAGCTGGAGCAGGAAGATTGCTTGAGCCCAGGAGTTTCAGGCCACACTGGGCAACAGAGTAAGACCTCGTCTCTTAAAAAAAAAATTAAACTCTCTTAGGTTTAATCTAAGTAAATACTTGGTTTCAGGATATTGTGTTACAGAATATTTTGTTCTCTTAATGATTTTGCTTGTGGGGGCCAACCAGGTGTCCCCAAGTGAATCAAATATAAGGAGAGTCCAAAATCACTATCAGAAGGCCATATAGTGCTACTGCAAATGGAAAGTTATTTTCCAAGGAGTTGTACTGATTTACTCCTACCAGCAGTGTAAGAAAGTTTCTATGTTTCCATTCCTTGCTAACAGTTATTAGCAGTTATTAATTTTAGCCATCATGATGGATAAGTAATGGAATACTACTGTGTTTAGTTTACATTTCACTGATTACTAATGAGACGGAGCATTTTCTCATGTTTATTGGCCATTTTGTAAAGTGTCTGTTCAAGACTTTTACTCCTACACAGTTGTTTTTTTCTGATTTTTAAAAATTCTTTATATAGTCTAGATATTATGCCTTTGTTAGTTATATGCGTTGCAATTATATTCTATTCTACAGCTTGCCTTTTTACCCTTGGTAGAGTACCATGGCTCCATAGCTCACAGCAACCTCAAACTCCTGGGTTCAAGTGATCCTCTTGCCTTAGCCTCCCAAGTAGCTGAGACTACAGCTGCCCGCCACAGCCAATGCCTGGGTATTTTTACAGATGGGGGTCTTGCTTTTGCTCAGGCTGGTCTTGAACTTGTGAGCTCAAGCAATCCACTCACTTAGGTCTCCCAGAGTTCTGGGATTACAGGCATAAGCCACTGCACTTGGCTTCTATCAATCTTTTTTTAAATGGGAAATAAGAAATACTTCCCTGTTTACATATATGTTCTCCAATGCTACTTTCTCAAAGTTTGTAGTTACATTACAAATAGCCTGGCTATTTGTTGTGGTTGTCATTGTTGTTTAGCAGGCCCAGGCTGGGTTCAAACTCACTAGCCCAGGTGCATGTGGCAGCACCCTAACTACTGAACTATGGGCGCTGAGCCCCACTGGCTAAATTTTATAATATATCCTGTAAATGTCTTGAACATCTTTGCTAGATTTGTTCCTAGTTTGTTGATTTATTTTGTAAATGTTATTTTTTTTTAAAAACTTCATAATAATTTCAAATATATACAAGAATATAGTATTGATTAATTCCAAATATCTACAACCCAGCTTTGATGATTATTACTCATAGCTTATTTTATTTATACC